AACAGACAACAATCAGTCAGCATAAATAGAAGGAACCCGAAAGAAACGACCTCCTTCACCTATCTGGGAAGCATCGTTTCAACTACAGGCGGAACTGACGAGGATATCAAAGCCAGAATCGGAAAAGCAAGACAAGCTTTCATTACGCCTAAGTCTGTGTGGAGTTCAACAGCACTCAGGATCAAAAATAAGATCCGAATTTTCAACTCCAATGTGAAGTCATTGCTACTATACGGATCAGAGACTGGGCGCGTCATAAAGAGCATCTCAAACAAACTACAGACCTTCATTAACAGTTGTCTTCGCTCAATACTCAAGATCAGATGGCCAGCCAGAATAGATGAGCAACAGGGATATCTAGCAATGAGCGAACCAACCAGAAACCGATTGTGAAACAAATAGGCAGGAAGAAATGGAGATGGATTGGCCATACGCTGAGGAAGCCATTAAATTACATCACTAGACAAGCCCTCGAGTGGAACCCGAAAGGGAGGCGTCGAGTTGGTCGTCCAGGGGTGACTTGGAGGAGGTCATGCGAGGAGGAGATGAAAGCATGTGGACAGACCTGGAGCGGGGTGAAAAGGTTGGCAGAAAACAGAAGGCAATGGAGGTTCGCAGCTGAAGCCCTATGTTCCTCTAGGAACTAAAGGATACAATAATATAATAATAATAATATATATATATATTTGCTATAAATCTTTGCATATATTGTTAGTCGGTAACTCCAGTGAAACAATGATCTGATGATTATCAGTTCGATGTCATATGAAATACAGCTGGACTAGTATTTTGGCGGGAGCTGTTTCGAATCCTGCTTTAGTTATTCATTCTCTTCATTCCACCTGCCACAGTCATTCACTATATGGATTTCTTTTCTTTTTTTTCATTTGTCATTTTGAAAGTTATTGTTACACGAACTTTATATGGGTATTTTTTGGTTGAACTGTAGCAGATTTTTGTTATTCAAATTAAGTTTTATCTGTTTTTTAACCTGTAATTTGGTTGTCTTTTTAAGAAATTGAAATTAGTTTTTAAAAAAACTTGAAATCCTTCAGCAATTTGAACCCATAATCTAGCAGAATCATCAGACTTTGTAACAAATATTCTATCTTTCTGTTTGTGATATTTAAGTTCTGCCGCTTGAAAAAAATATCACTGTGATTCGATATCGTCAATGAATGATTGTCCTTATGCTTTACTTGCCTAGCGCAAGAAGACGGGTGTATTTTGAGCCAACAGAAGACTCTAAACGATCTGGACTTCGCGGACGATTTAGGTTTATTGTGGCATGAACTGGAAGATCTACAGGCCAAAACCAATAAGTTGGCAGAAGAATCAATGAATTCAGAACTTCAAGTGGACAGAAAGTAGGCGGAGGTGATGAAGACAGCCAACACCAGCCGGCACTAATCACCATCAGTAGGAAAAATCCAAAAGAATTCATCTCTTTCACTTATCTGGCCAACATTATTCCGATTACATGAGGTACGGATTAAGATGTCAAAGGCACAATTGGAAAAGCAATACTGTCATTCATTACTTTGAAATTAGTGTAGAAATGTAGTGCCTGAATGTTCGACACTTATGTCAAGTTAGTACCTCTGTATCGTTCAGGGACTTGTCTCTTGCAAAACCAAAATCATTTCCAGCATTTTACTGCAGACTTTATGGAATGTATATGGAATGTATAATCGTTGACTGGAAATGATCAACAATAGGGGAGTCTGATAGTGCAGCAAACCAATCAAAAACCTATCGGCTAACAAATATACAAAAGCAAGTAGAGATAAATTAGATGTAAGCTGAGGAGACTGTTAAATGTAATCGCGCGCCAAGCATTTTCAGTGGAACCTAAGTAGGCGTCCATGGGTGACATGAAGGAGACTGTGTGACGAGTATATGAAAACTTATGGAGAATTGTAAAACGAGGGAAAAAGGACTGCAGAAAACAAGGTGAAATAATAATAACTCAGATCTCAAGGGAATAATAATGTGTAATATAAAAGTGATTGTTGCATATTTTACTGAACAATTCCCATGTGTATAATGTCTGTTTGCCATCTGATATGATGATTCCCAGTTATACATACTACTATTAAGTCTAGTGTCCAATTGTTTAAAAGAATAAATATTAGTGTATAAATATTTCGATACACTAATTTTCAAATATTTGTTTAGACGTTAACTAGACTTTTTGTTGGTTACCTGTAATGCTTAAAACGACAATTTAATTTCTCTTTATATTCTCTCTAACTGCTTTACATCTATGTTCTATGCATTTAGTAATATTGTTGTTATTCACTGATGTAAACTGCTTCATAGTAAAGCACAACAAAATTGCTTCTTTTTATACATTATCTTTTTTGTTTGTTTTGTATTCATTTTCATGATGCATAACGTGCTATACACATGCTCTGGTAGAAATGAGTTTGGTATGCCTTTTTTTCCCCACTACTAATAGTCACTTGTATAAGAAATCTCTATGTCTGTGTGTATATGCATTTTTGCTTAGTTGTGTTCAACTCAGTATACATATATTATCAGTGCATTTTAGATAACCTTTCAAATCTTATTCCAAATCTAGAGTAAAGTTAATATTGGTATGTTATTAATTTTTTTAAAATTAGGTTTACGCATAATTATATATATTAGTGTGACACAGACGTAATTAATTAACAGTGAACTTGTTCGATCATGATTGTGTACTTTACGGTGGGAATCTTTTTATTCCAACTAACAGAGACGACAAATTGCAAACGCAGTCATCTGATTGGTTGTTTCTCGGAAGTTAAGCAAACAAATGCACTCTTCTGATTGGTTGTTTCGGGTTTTCTCGGAAAGTGGAGCCATCTATCTGCGAATCATATTTGCCCACGTTAAGTCCGCTGTGATTGGTTGTTGAATCAGCCTTGTTCATATTTTCTCACGGCCAGTATTAGTAACCTAGACATTGACGTAGATTAATGTCTACCAATTGGCTAGCAGCCTGCTCTCACCACAATATTATTTTTAACCATAACTTAGAATCTCTAGCTGTGGATTGTTAGAGAGAAAGAAAAAAAATAGTGTTTTAACCTTTTTAGCTTTCACTTTATTCAGCATATAAACTGTGAATGCCTTAAGCTTGATTTATAGTAACTGGGCAATATTTTATCCTCGAATGGGATAAATTACATTTAATTGAAAGGTGAAGAAAAATGAAGAAAACTCCTGAAACATGATAATACGTTCTGTAAAAATAGACATGATAAGCAAGTTACTAATATCTTTGCGAGTGGATCTCTGTTGCATAAAAAGAAAAAAAACAATGTTTTTCCAGGACAAAGTAGACCAAGGAGTAAACTTAAGAACGAAATTACATCTGGTCCTGATAGAGCGGTCGTCAGTGAGTGACTAGTATGATACTCGTTTTTCTCCCATAGCTCTCTACATGTTATCTTACTTTTAGCCTTATTTTATATTGACTGAATTAGTATATTGTGGTCTGTAAAAAATCATTTGGATTTTAAGATCCTCAGTTGTTACTGTCTATTATTTATTTATTCTTTCCTTCACGTTCCCCAGTGGAACATAGGGCTTCAAGCTAGTAGCTTGAAGTTTCTGTAGCAGTGTTTATTTTACAGGATGGGGTTGCTATCCTCATGCCCAACCTTTCCTCTTTACCAGCATGATTTCTAGCTTAGCGAGGCAAAGGAGCGCGTCCAGTGGCCGGGGATCGAACCCCGAACCATGTTTATGGTCGGCGAGCGTCCTAACCGCTATACCACCGACGCACAATAATATTATTTATTACTGAACAATAATGAAAAGTTGATATTACCACACTACATGTGTCAAATATCCAGATCACAAAGATCCTGGACTTTTATTGCTGGTTTCAAAAGACGAAGTGTAATACGCAGAATAATATGCACAGTAACCATTCCGGAAAACAGAAAATCGAAATGCAATGCGATTGTTTATTTTTCCACCGATAATGAGACAAAAATACAGGTTACTATCAACCAAGCCTGTAAATAAACGTTAATAGAATGTATAATGATACTTCGCGTTGGTGACACAGCGGTTACGACGCTCGCCGACCATGCACATCTTCCGGGGTTCGATCCCCGACCGACTCACTCATTTACCTCGCTAAGCCAGGAATAAGGCTGGTAAAGAGGAAAAGTTGGACATGAGGCTAGCAACCCGATCCTGTAAAATTAAACACTGCTACAGAAACTTAAAGTCACTAGCTTGAAGCCCAATGTTCCGCTGGGAACGTGAAGGAAAAATTATTAATTATTATAATTATACTTCTGATCGCATTTCTCCCGTTTCTTGTTAACCAGTATACAACTAAGCAACGTTAGTCTTCTTATCTCCCGCGAAATGAAGACGATTTCGAATAAACAAAAGATTCAATGTTTACTAGTATTGACAACATGTATATTTTAAGTGTTGAACAGTTCCTTTGTAGAAGTAACCGTGACAGATGTTCATCTACTAGTTGGAAATAAAAGACAATTAAAAAAAGTGTATAACTTCTGATCAAATAACTCATTGAAGATCATGTTGGCTAACAATTCAACTGAGACATTGGTTAGAATGCCATGTTCTAGGCACACATATTTCACAGAATTTTTCTGTCGTAACATTATAAAGGCATAAGTTACAAAATTGATTTGATTGAGATCCTTAAAGGTTATTGTTAATCGTCTTACCCCTTCATCCTTTTAAAATGATGATGTTTCGACCTGTGAGAATACGAAATACATTGATTAATAAACCATTTAGGCTCTTCTTAGGGTAGATATTGTGTTTCTTTACGAATAAGCTTATTCAACTCATACTATGTATGGTGAAAATGAGTGTGTCCTGAGTCCGTACATAAGGTCAATGTTGTTTGTTGGACACATCATAGATATTTATTAATGCCAGTTTGTTTTATCTTTATCTTATGTTTACCTTGCTTTTGCTTGTCCATATCATATTGTTTGACTTTATTTTTGAATTCAAAGGTACAATATGTATACCGAATACTGATGCATCGTTGAATTCTAATTCTAAATCATTTCGATTTTCAACCAGTAATATTTTTCCAACACTTGGTAAACCTCAGTCATCTGTTGATGCAAGCTTCTCTCCAGAACAAATGAAAGTACGCCGTTTACGCTTATCACAAATGAATCTCTTCGCCTCTGGTCGAGGCAGTGGTGCACCAGTACCTATACGTATCGGTGAACATCGTTTAGACTGTAAATCGGATAACCAATGTCACATACCTAATTCTGTAAGTGTAAACATTTCATTTGCTATGTGTACTATTCAGTCTTCTGTCTAGCCTATAGTTAAATAAATATTTTTGAGTTACTGGAACTGAAAAATCATCAGTCAATCACCTAAAACTGACTCATTCACCTGGATGGTAACAATATTTCTAATCTTAAGTTGTAACAGTTACCAAGCAAGTTAATTAACTGGGAACTATACAAGAAATCTATGAATTGTGAGCTTTCTGTAAGCGTTTGGATGAGTTTTAATGTGACTGACTGCTTTCAACGTAGAACTTTGCACAGATGTGCATCAGTTCGAGTTGCCACTCTCACTCCTCGTAGCACACAAAGCAAGAGAGTAAGGAGTAAAGAGAGAAATAAACAGAAGTGTGAGTGAGTGGAAAAGAATACCAATGTAGAAGTACAACAGGGTTTTTATCGGATATGACTAGTCACAAGGAGTGGATGCATCTGCACCAGCCATTGAGAACAATTTTGAATCACATTATCAGTTGTCTCCAGCCTTCATTGGTTTGTACCATCCCGAGGACCCCAGCTAGTTAGGAAGCCAGTGTACACCTCCCTACAAGTTTGGTTGGCTGGCTTAAACTAACTGTTGTGGATTTCATTGACTGACTGGTGAAGCCATGTTTCAGTTTGACCACCACTAGCCAACTCTTTCCCAACTTGATTCACTCAACCTAAGCCTAACCTCAGTACTGCTCACTCCATTATACCAATTCACACGGGAGTTAGAACGCAGACACACATGATCAAAGAGAACTAGCCAGCCTTCTCATGTCTTCCACTTTCGATGACCATGTCTGTCTCACAGCTGTCATAAAAGAAGAGGGCAGAGCGAACTTTTGAGCAGTACACACGCCATTCGGTCGACAGCCAGCTAGCCGGATATCACGTCTACTACGGTAGAGGTGGTGTAAGTTGGCATGTAAATGCCAAACGAGTCTTCTGTATCGGTGGTGAGATTTCGTGATCAATCAACCCACTGTCACTGGTTGATTCAAACTCTCGAATAAGTGTAGTGGTCAACACGCCCCACCAACCGCTTTACTCCTGCCCTGTCCTAGGAGTCGATGTAGTTCAGTCAGTCGTGTAGGATCATTTTACATTTGACAGTAGGAGTGAATCGCATACCAAACATCCTATGTTTGCTGCTCAATGTGTTGGAAAGACTCTTCATTCTGTCAGAGTCTCGACGTTGTAGGTGGGACTATATCATGTGGATATTGCAAGTGAAGGAGATTATTTGCTGGTAGTACGGAGTCAATCCGTGAGTCGCTGAAGTCAGTTACGATTAAGTCCATTATTACTACAGCTATGATGAAATTGAAGAGAGATGGGGATAGTGGGCAACCCTAACTGACACTACTAGTTGTCACCACTTCAGATGACAAATCGCCTGGTTGCATGAGTTTGAGTAGAGTACCTTGATCAGTGAAATGTATTTTGTCGGCATTCCTTTAACGACCAAACATTGCTCTGGTGCCTATCGGTCGTCAGAATTGATTGAGGCCTTTAGATCATGAAATGTGACAATTGTTGAACACCGGTAATTGTGCCTATGCTTGAGAATCTGTCGAAGGTTGAAGCTAGGAGCGATACTTCCTCTTTCTAGTCTAAAGCCTGCCAGGTTCTCTCGTGGTTTTGCCCACCAAGAACCGCTTAGTCTACGCTTTATTATTGAGCCTAGAACTTTAGATACCATATTAGTCAAGCTTATCCCCCTGTGATTATCACAGGAAGACTTGTCACCCTTCGTGAATATTGGGATAATGAATGACTTACACCAGTGCGATGGGACTATGCCTGATTCCCAGTCGCTGCCTAGTACCTCAGTCAACGTAGACAGTAAGCTGTCACCACCCTTCTTAAGCACCTCTATGGTCATTCCATCAGGTCTCATTGCTCTGCCTCATTTCGGACTAGTGACAGCCTTAGTAACTTCAGTAAGGGACGGATGACCCGTGCCTATATCACATTCAGTCAGGTGCTGGATGCTCGGTAAGTTGAGCGCAGCTGTAGGCCAATTAAACTGCTCTTCAAAGTGTTCTTCCCAGCATTCCAGTTGTCTATCCTGAAAGCTAATGATGGTGTCATTTTTCTCAGAGATTGTTTCACTTATCGTTTGCTCTTTACTACCTGTTTCCCTGATAAGTCTAAATAGTTGTATGGTGTTACCGATCGCCGATGCATTTTCCATCTCTTTCGCTTTTGTCGCCTACCACTGTTCACAGTCATCGCGAAGACTGCGTGTTAGTTTGTGTTTGAGCAACTTTCGCTCCCCACCATACTCGAAGCTCGCCGGAATCAGTCTTCTTGCATCAGTCAGTTCGGATGAGGCAGCAGAAGTCCACTGGCTCTTACTAACTTTTGGTTTTAGCTTATTAACAGCTTTTATAGCTGTGTCTACAGCTAATTGTATATTGTGCCAGGCTACCTTGGGGCAAATCCTGCTGTCGACCGTTTTGTCCCTTAATTAGGGACTCAGTGTCTCGATCTAGTTGGGGACACAGCTGCTTTGCTGCCAACAATATTTTATGTCTGTTCAGACGTAAGCATAAACGTTCGCGGACCAGGGTCTACGCACGTGTTTCAAAAGTAGCGGCAGTCTCCTACTGACCCTCGCCAACGATACCCTATGGCTATGTGGTCTATCTGAGTCCAGCGTTGATTTGGTGATGGAGGTCGCCAGGTAACACAATTTTTCTCTTTTGACTAGGAACATGATTATCTGAACAGAACTGTAGGAGATGATCACTGTTGTCGGTTCGTCGGCAGGGAACTCCATACGTATCACCTACATACTTCTTGGTCTGGTACAACTTTCCTACTTGGGCATTGAAGTCGCCTGCTAAAACAACTATATCTGAACGTTTTGCTTTTTGCAACAAACTAGACAGTTTCTGGTAGAAGTCAGTTGGGGGATAAGCGGAGACTATGAAAAGGCAGCAACGGGTAACACTATCCTTCCTTCTTTTAACGGACCTGTTCAGACGGATCGCACACATACAGCTATTTACCGGGATCTAGTCAAGACAAGATTTCCCTGCCATAACACTCAATGTTATCCCTACATCTGCGGGTCCTCGCAAACTAGCTGAGGGGTTCCCTGACACCCTCAAAGTGAATTTAGCAGATTCATCATGCTAGCTGAATGGGGTCAAGTGAATGGCCACACTCGGGTCTTGTATGCGTGTCTCCGAAACACAACATACATCCATGGTTCGAGATGTCAGAGTTCTCGCTAGTTATGTTTGTTTTCCGATTTGGCAGAGGGTCCTGACGTTGAATGCTCCTATATGAAGTTGGTGGCGTGACTTTAAGAGGCTGTCGGAGATGTTTGTGATCACAGAGTGAAGTGAAGATGACTCACTAGCCTGAAGAATAGTACTGACAGTAGCAGAGAAGCAAGATGAGGAAGGTGATGTGAGTAAAGAAGAATGATGCTCAGGAAGGCTTTGTGTGGTTTTGGAAGTGCGTGGGTGGTTTTTACTTCCCGGCTGCCCACACCGTGGAAGGTGATTGATTCTTCGGGTACCTGAAACAGAAAGAGGGTTAGTGTTGCGTGACCGCAGAGCCCAGGGGACAACTGTTTGAGGCCGGCCACACACACGGTCTGTATGAACTGGTTTCTGGGATTGGTTCCGTATTAGTAAACTTTCCGCCTGTTACGGACCACCGTAGGGTAAGTCGGGATGTACAATTTTCGGGGTCGACCTTTTCTAATCCCTTCTCTCTGGAGTGGAGAGACAGCATAGCTGGCATGCTGGTCATCTGAGGGAAACACCTCACTGCTGTCACACCCCTGTTCTTCAGCAATACAACTTCGCCCACATACCCCCAGCATAGTGTAAGAAAGATTCTTACACTAGGGAGTGTCCAGGAAGTACTGGACACCTGTTTCATCCTAGTGCGCTTCCACGACTCCACCATGGATCAAACCCATTACCTTCAGGTTACGGGGTAGAGCTCGTTGGTTCTCATCAATCTCTAATAGATGTTATTTCGATACATTGGAATTGATTCACTTTCCTTCAAAAATAGCCGTATTTTTAAATGTTAATCTCCAGCTCATTAGTGGCTATTGTGACGGGTATCCTGAAGCTGTATTGAAAAGTCGTGGTCACTGGAGTGATTTAGATGCTCCTTGAAGAAATTGACTTGCTGTAAGGCTATATCATGAACTGACAGAAATTACACTTCACCGTTCATTAAATTCTTACTGAAGTAGCTGAATGATTAACAAGCTTGGTGTTGTAACCTGTAGGTTCTAGGTTCGTTCCGTGGTTGCAGATGGCGTGGCTGCGTAATACTGAATAGCTCAATGCCAAGATGAAATAAATTTTTAATCTTCTCTGTCTATTAATGATCTCTGTCTATATTTTATGTGGGGATTTAATTTATTGACTTCCTCCTGGTACATACAAAATATGATTGGCGCAACTAAGTTCTAACTAAACTACTTATATTGTTTATATCTCACACAAAATATTTTTCGTTGTCGATGAATTCTCATACTTAATTAACATGAGAAAATTAGCGTATAAATAGTGCTTACATATTATTGTTGAATCGCATTAACTTGTAAAATAATTTATTTTTTTCATTGTATTCAAAATTCACACAACTTGTTTTTAAATGTTTTCAATATATATATATATTTTTTAATGAATAAGTATCAATATGATAAATAATCTTTTAAAGTATGTGTGTGTATTTATGACACATGACAACCATAATGCAATTAAGAGAGCGGGGGATCACAATTATAGAACCAATTCAGGTTACGAGAGCCACACACACACACACAATCACTATACAATTACTGATTTGAAGTATGGTAGTCACCCATGAATGCTAAGATAAAAAGTTAGTTGAATTAGTAGAATTCAATTTTAGTGTATCTGAATAGCTCTAATAAAATACTGATAGGCTTATTCCTCAAGGTAGAATAACTCTGCTGACTATATTTAGGTAGGTGAGTGTTAAAATAACC